CAAGCTCCCGTGATCCACGCCTTCAAGTGCTGCAAGGCCTCTGGCAACTCCTAGCAACCCCAGGGTGGCTTGGGGTCGTGGGGGGGGGGGAATTGGACTGGGACGTCGGGCTGGTGTCTTCCCATTTGGGTTCAAGAACTCAGGGTTGAACTCTCCCAACAAGACACCACTCCAAACCCATGCAGCCAAAGAGCGACCTGATTTTCGTGGTGATTGCAAAGATGGGCCAAGCACCCCCCCTTTTTGACAACTGTATGTAGGTCCCTGCCTTTTGGACCCAAGTTTGCGATTCACATCCTGAATTGAATGTGCTCGGGGGAGGTGTTCACCTGGTTGGGCGTGCCCAGTTTCAAGATCCAGGGTCCTGATAGGGCGTGCCAGCCTCCAACTTGCTGGATCAACAATAGGTACCCAACATAGAACCCTGGCAAATGGAAGCAAGATGAAACAAGGACCAAAACCTGCGGCCCCTTGTGGTTTAATTTGACCCGATGATCCAAGCAAACCGATCCCGCGGACGACCCCCCCCCCCCGCCTCTGCAGGCATCCTGCCGGCATTTCAGGATCCTAACCGCCTCAATTCAAGGGGACTTCCCTGATTGCCTTTAATGGCTTCCTCAGACTGGCTGTCTGATCTCCTTAACACCAACCCAAGCATGGAAATTCCGAGCGTGTTTCTGGATAGCTCCTGAAAGTCTGCAAGGATCTCCAGTCAATGATTTCACGATAGCACGTGGGGAAGTTGCTCGCATTGAGACAAGGATCCTGACCAGGAGTTGGCATCTCTTTTTTTTCTCCGGAATCGTGTCGATGCATTCCCTCCAGAACTGTCCATGCCTGAAGTGATGGGATTTGCTTCCATTCGTGCGGTCCAGTTTTGCAGCTACACCCTTTTTGCAAAAAATCTAGAAAGCACCTAAGCCCACCTGAAACCATCCCTCGGAAGCTTGCTACTAAAATACAGGAAGGACCCCCCAAGCATCCTTCATGCCGCTGAATCCCCAAAGATCTCCTGTCTCAGACATGCTTCAAGGTGCCATGTTTTGAAGCCGCATCCATGGTGGGCAAAAACAAACAAACAGGCCAGCCTTAACTCGGTTGCTTTTTGCTCCCCTGCTAAAAGTGGCTAACTTTTAGTGGTTTAGAGGAAACCCCATTAGTTGGCAAAAAGTTAAAGTCCTAACAGCCAAGCAAAATGCACCAAAGTTAATGCGTGTTTGCTAAGAAGATATCATTGAAGCTCTTCCCTGGCCTCTTTGCTTGCCCAAGCACATCATTTTCAGCAGTTCAGCATGCAGACCAAAAGCTAAGAGCACTCTCTCAACTCGTTACCTCCCGAATCCAGCTCGCTTGAGTGGACTACTCTCGCGAACACAACATGGAAATCTAACAAACCTGGCCCGTGCGAAGAATTCCCATCTTGACTCACTTCTTGAAGGCCCAGCGTTTTTCTTTTCAGTGGAGACAAACACTGAACTTGACCGAACCATGTTGTACATTTCCTTCATCTTCTGCCCAGGATACCGGGGTCCCTGAATGAATCACGAGAACTTTGGATCCGGTCACGACTTGATCAGGACTATTGCAGTTTTTTCAACACCGAACCCCTTAGATGCCGGTGTGTACCCTCGCTCATCAAACGCTTTTTTCTCTCTGATCCTTTGGCCTATGCCGAGCTCACCAACGACAAAGGTGCTTTGCCGGCACAATCCAAGAAGTATAGTTGGCAACCATTTTCCCCCCACGTATTTCTCAAGTCCCGAAATCATACTCCTGATGGTTTGCGACATTCCTTTGTTCAGCGCCTCGCAACAACCGCGTGATGCGACAGCTCCCATTTACTGTTGTCGAAGACCAGCTGAGTCTCTGATTTAGAAGCTCAGACTGGCTTGGTTCCAACCTCAACCTTACAGGTTGCCTTTACTTCAAGCCCGGTATGCTGAAGCTCCCAACATGTGGACCATGGTCATGGACCTCTCCTTGTAGAACCCTGAAATGAATCAACACTCCAATCCTACCAACATTCACCAAAGTTTGCTGGCTTTGGCTGTTACATCAGGGATCTGGAGCCGCCGAACAATCCCTTCCTGTTGGCATTTGCGAGACATGAGCGTCCTTTGCGGAGAAATTCAGGGGCTCAATTTCTTAGCAGTTTTTTGGTGTAGTGGTATCACACCCACCCCATCTCTTCTGCGTTGGTTCTTGCCAAAGGAGTCCTTCATCACCCGAAAAGGCCGCTAAGAAATCCAGCCCCCCTCGCTCCAGATAGTAAAAACCCAGCCCTTTTAACGACGAAATGAACGCTAAGAACTTCAGCCCTGTGCCTCGACCAACCGATTTCTTATACAGCGCTTGCACTGTAATTAAGATAACATGGATTGAGTACTGGCAAGGACTTGTTCGCCAATTCAGGGAAACACCTATCTTTGCAAGTATTGCTTCGTTCACCTTGGACTAAGTCACCTCTGGTCAATCAAGGGATCTCTTCCCTTGGTGCCGAAGGTGCTCCCAGATGTGCTGGTGTTCCTAGTGTGCTTCATCAAGCCAATTCAATTGCGGGCCAGTGCCCAAAACGCTTCATTTCAGTCCGTTTTGTCCTCTGTGCTCGATCCTCAGCAGCTTACTTGGTTTGTACTGCTTCATATGTTTTCATGTGGCTGTGGGTCAAGAATAGGTACCCAAAATGGAACCCTGGTAAGTGGCAACATGGACAAACACCTGTGGTCCCCTGGTGGTTTAATGTTGACCCACACCCATGTGAGCATGCATCTTTGGGGACTTTTTGGAGGGCACTTGGACGGGGGATCCACTCAGAGGACATCGGATACGTCCTCCGATTGACCTGCCCCTCCGACTCGACCAGCTCAGGGTGTGCCTTCAGGAAACGCTTGGCCCAGTGAAAACCTCCGGGGAGCTTTCGGCGGACTTGAAATTTGATTCCTGAGATAGTCAACCAACCTAAGCAACCAAAAGCAAACCGGGACTGCGGCTGAGCAACACTTCACCTATTGGTGGCCAACCAAACTGGCAAAACAACATGGACCAACCTTTTTCTCCTTCAAACATCACACCGGGGAACTTAAGATTGATCCAAGAAGTGCGCAAGAAGGCCCAATTTGTGTTGACAACAGTCTTGGGTTGCCCCGGGCCCATTTGAAGGTAAACCAGCCAGCCTGCGACCCACCCCATTTGGGCAGCCATAGAAGCAGAACGGCTGTATTGGTTGTTCGTACGACACCCACCCCTAAAACGAGGAAAACAAAACGCTGGGAAACATGGCACTGGGTGAGCCATGCTTAGCTTGAAACGGGTTGGCCAAGAAGGGGGGTACGGGTCCCCCGTTCAGGTCGGTCATTCTTGCCAGGACATACAGGAAGTAAACAGTGTAAGCAAGGACCTGATAGGTTTGACAATATCACAGATTCTTCAAATTGAACAAATAAATGCACTGCCAAACAATGAGTCAGCAATCGGAACAATCGGAACCCGTGCCACGGTACGCCTGCTTCCGAGGCTTGCATCGTCATTCTCGATGTTTCCCGATTCAAACCCCATCCCCATCACAACTCCGTCGCCAAAAGCTGCCGCTCATTTTGGAAACATCCGGAGACCGGTCGGGCACTCAGCCCCCGCGCCGCGACCAGCTTGTAGGCCGACGCCGCCAGAGTTTCCTGGCCGACCCCGCAAGCGACAAGCAATCGGATGTGCCATAGCTACATGGGAAACTTGGATGAGAAATGGACACTTTGGTGTACAGCATTACATGAAACTTTGTGTCCATCACCATGCTTGAAGGCTTTCCCTATTCACGTTCATGCAGGCTTGACAAAATCTTGACCTCTTTCGAGCAACTCCGACAAAGGGCCCTCGTTGTGGGTGACTATGGCCTGTGCGTGTTTGCGTGTTCACATGTGTGTGTGTGTGTGTTTTTTCTTTCTGTTTGCGTTTGTGCTTGCATTTATGCTGCACTGTGTGTGGTTGTGTCCGCGCTCCGGTGTGTGTGTGTGTGTGTGTGTGTGTGTGTGTGTGTGTGCGTGCGTGCGTGCGTGTGTGTGTGTGTGTGTGGGTGTGTGGGTGTGCGTGCGTGTGCGTGTGCGTGTGCGCGTGCGCGTGCGCGTGCGCGTGCGCGTGCGCGTGCGCGTGCGCGTGCGCGCGCGCGTGATTGCGTCATTGCGTGATTGCGTGCGTGCGTGCGTGCGTGCGTGCGTGCGTGCGTGCGTGCGTGCGTGCGTGCGTGCGTGCGTGCGTGCGTGCGTGCGTGCGTGCGTGGGTGTGTGTGTGTGTGTGTGTGTGTGTGTGTGTGTGTGTGTGTGTGTGTGTGTGTGTGTGCTTGTGCGTGCGTGCGTGCGTGCGTGCGTGCGTGGGTGTGTGTGTGTGTGCGTGTGTGTCGCTTTGATTTTTGGTGCGTTGTACGTGTGTGTGCCGGCTTGTCTGCTGCTTGATTTCTCATCCGTGTCTCTGTACCTCTGTGAATCTGTCTTTCTGTGCCTCGGTTTGCGTGCGCCTTTGCGTATGTTTGTTCGAAGGCACGCACGCCGGTGGTGTGTGTGTGTGTGTGTGTGTGTGTGTGTGTGTGTGCGAGTGTGTGTGTGTGTGTGGGTGCGTGCGTGCGTGTGTGCGTGTAGGGTTGGTGTGCGCGTGCGCGTGCGCGTGCGCGTGCGTGCGCGTGTGCGTGTGTGTCCGCTGAGCGCCAGATTTACCCCAATGCCACATCGTCATGGAACCTTTGAGGGTGAACGGGGCCGGCCAGGAGTTTAAGTGTGTTTAAGAATAACATTAAAATTTATTTATTTATTTAAAAATCAAATAAAATAATAATAACAAAAAAAACACCTGGGGGGGAGTTTTATTATTAGGGGTCGCCGGTTTGGCCCTAGATCCAGTTGATAGTTTGCTGTTTAGTGTTGGACTTGTATTGGAGAATGGATCTCCTTTGATTTGGAGCAAAAGCTTCTCAGATTGCAACTTGTACGTAGGAACTTCGAAAGGGAGTGCCCATGCTCAGTTTCATAAAACATGTTTGCTTGTGTTGGGTTGTTTGGCGAACAGACCCAAATCATAGAACTTTCTTGGGGATGTGCTTCTTGGTTGGTTGCTATTTACTATTGCACTTGCTAATTCCCCTAGTAATAAAACCTTGTCGCACAGGGCAACCCTTGGGTGTGAAAGAACAAGTGGAGCCTTCTTGACTCAACACACTCTGGAGGGGGGACCCCTAATAAGCTTTTTTTGGGAGCTTGGTGGAAAGCATGTAGAGTCTCACGAGTGTAGTATTGGTTTAGTATTGGCCAATTTAAATATAGTATTGTCATTTTTTTGCCGCGGTGTGGGGAGTTTTATTATTAGGGGTAGGTTTATTAATAGGAAGAAGTGATTAGGGGACCACCCCCGGGTGAAGTAGAAATTGTTTCACATTGTTTTTCACCTCGGTGTGTGATCTCAGTTACAAAAGGCAACTTGAGAAGATTAAGATTGAACATGATCTCTGCTGATGCACTTCACCCTGCTGATCTACCCCGGAGTGCTCCTTGACTCCTTTGAGACTCCTTTGAGATTGCTCCTTCCTTGACTCCTGTGAGATTGCTCCTTGACTCTTTGGAGATTGCTGCTTGACTGCCTGATTCTTCTACTTTGGCTACCTTGTCTATGACAGCAACTCGTTGAGCTGCTCGTCCTCATTGCCAGTTCGGGGGAGTGTGTTTGTGTGTGTGTGTGCGTGGGTGGGTGGGTGTGCGTGTGAGACAGTGCGTGTTTGTGTGTCCGCTGAGCGTCAGTTTGCCCCAATGCCACATCGTCATGGAATCTTTGAGGATGCAGGGGGCCGGCCCCGGATCCTGGCGTCTCCGGGCCCCCTTTTTGCTCCCTGGACGTCGAGTTGAAGGTGTCACTTGAACCCCATCACTCGAGAGAGCCACTCTTCATTAAGTGTGTGCATGTTTGCTGTCTGTTCATCCGTCCATTTGTTCGTTTGTCGAGTCAGTCGACGGTTGGTCACAGGAAGTCAATGAGTGTGCGCACGTGCGCGCGCCTGTCTTCGTTACCTTGAGCTTCCATTCGAGCAGGGCATGCGCACATCTGTGCACGCAAGGGTGTTCATGTTCGCTTGCGCGTGATCGTGCCACACGCCGCACGGCTAACGGCGTTGTGCTTTGTGATTGCTCTAGTGATTTAGAGTGATCACAGAAAAATCGAGTGAAGGGGTCCCATCCAAGTGGGCCCCTCTGATTTTGTCCCTGCGGTGTATCTCTGAATAAACGTGGCTCTGAGAGTCTGTGGCCCGGAGCTTGGAATCTCACACGCAAACGACAGGCACCGCGTCGAAATGCTCATCCCGTGGCATTTTGCTCGTTTCACCCGAGTGGTGAGCCAATCAATTGCGCTCTGCAACTCTCACAGGAATAAAACTGCACAAACACCTTTTGGACAACTGACTTCTTAACAGGGAACCTCGCACCTACTAAGTGACTCTTGCGACACTCAATTGCCGTTCGGGTGTCGCTCGTTTAGCAAGGGGCAAAGTCCGAAGGGGGAACACATCGCGCAGTGCACTCTGCTGCTCCCAAGTGCCGAATGAAAGAGGGGCCACAGGAGAGGACTCTGCTTTTGGGTGCGACAGCTTGACTGGGCTGCCCAATATGGGGGGAGAGCCCGAATCCGTGATCAGTGGACTCCATCAGGGAAGCACCATCTGGCAAACGGATGAAGGACACACTGCAAACATGACGCCGGCCTTCCCACTTCACCAACTTCAAAACAGGGGTCCATCACGAGGCACCATGAGGTCTGTGATAACAAGCTTGCGGAAGGATTAACTTTGAACCCAGGTTGGTTTGACAGGGGTCACTGGGTTCCCCCTTCTGAGGTAACCCAATTTCCTGCTGTCCACTGCTGCCACTTTTGACTCGCGGTCCAAAAAACACAAAAATCGAAGCGCCCCCCAATTTGGACCCCCATCCCAAGCCGACTCCCAGCCCAACCCCGCCGAACCGAGTTCTTCTTCTCCGGCCTCCGCTTCTGAAGCTCCCGTGTGGGCGCTCAGCCCTTGCTCCAGGGCGGAAACCTAAGAGACGAAATGAGAGAAGCTACGTCCAGGTGTCCAGGTCGGGGGAAGTGGGAGCGCCCCTCCAGGTATACTTTCCCTACATAGTACGTGTCCAGGTCGGGGGAAGTGGGAGCGCCCCTCCAGGTTTTTACTTTCCCTATGTGGACCCCATACTAATCAACCTGAGTTTATTCATAGGGCGGGCGGGCCCCTCCAAGATAAATCCCAACTAAAACCAGGGACACCCCCATATTGATAAACAGGCGATTTTTGAGTATTCATTTCGGCCAATGGAAGGAAGGCTTTACGTGAAGGAGCCCCTTCTTTGAAAGCACTACAACACTTCCCTGTTTCCAGGGGGTCCTTTGCAGTGCCAGGGGGACATCCACTTCGCACAATGGATGAAACCCTGAGATAAATCACACAACAGTTGGTCCAACAGGGGTCCGACAAAAACCATGATGCCCCTTTGAGGGTTTCTTTGGTTCTCTCTGACGTCTTTCGCACATAAGACCATATTGCCAGATGCCCGAACACCAAAGACTTGGGTTCTTTCCCAACTAGGAGCTCAGCCTCAGGTGAGTTTACACATGGCTTCAAACCACCAAGTGGACAAGCGGGACCCAACTTTGCACAGTGGTTGATTGATCCTTGTCCCCTGTGAACAAACATGAACAGGGGTCGTTGATTGATTTGAAGCACTTATGTCTGTCCAACACCAAATGACTCGTTGGTTGCGACGTCTTGTCGTTTACTCCCGCACGACAGGCCAGAGAAAAGGCATCAGGATTCAACCCAGCAACTTACCCTACCATCAATGCGGGAAACGACAGTGCTAAATGGAGATCTGAACAAGTTTCGTTTCGGGCAGGTCAACCATTTGGGGTCCTCATGCCGAATGCGAACTTCTCCAAGCAAACCACACCAATTTGCCCTGTCCAATCAAACAATGGGTTTGTGAGAACCCTTTTGGGCATACAAATTGAACGGCTCCACCCTTTTGGTGACCTTGTTGAGCAAGCAGTGCCACATTTGCCGCCCTTTCGACATGTTGCCCAGTGACCCTGGTGCCTGGTACAAAACGGAGACCTTTGTTGGGCTTGAGCATTTTCAGCTGGGCCACCAAGCATTACCCTCGGATTCCACTGAGTTGAGGCGTGGACTAAGGAGCCTTCCCCCTGCAGGATGGACCTCAGCCATGGCCGTGGCGAGGGACGGGTTCCACGGACCGAAAAGCAAACAACAGGTTTGGATGAATGCGCCTTTGTGGATGTCCGGTGAAAAGCAAAGAAACCCATCGCCTTGACCTGAAGGAGAGGGTTTCGGGGATGTGGTGAACACGTGATAGGTACTGGTGAACACGTGTGCGCTGCAAAAAAAAGCCTCTTAGTCGCACACCATAGAACACCTTGGGGATATAGATTGCACACTCACAGGGGTGGGAGCCCCTCCAACTCCACTTCTTCAGTCCCTGCCCATTCTCCATCCCCGAAGTCCATTTGTGAAGGGCGAAGTGCCTCCAATTGGACGACCTCCCTGAAACTCAACCAGTCACTGTGATTCATTGTCGTTGCTCCAACTCGACATGCATCTGCAGCTCGGGTCTTTAAAGCCTTGCGGTCCTTCGAATGCTGCGCAGGAAACCTTGGGCAGATCGGCAGTTTTTGACTGAGCCAAAGGAATGTTTAATCATCGTTTGGGTTTGGCTCAAAATACCCCAACGTCCAAACGATAGTTTTTGGGCATTCGGACAAGCTATGCCCACATGAATCGCCTCAGCCGCGCGCATCATTGGGCTCAGCTCCTTCAATTCCTGCAACTTGCGAAACCTCTACTACTTATTGCCCTTGCCGTTCCCACCTGCTTTTGGGGACCCTTTCGATTTGAAAAGGCCACGGTGGATGCCTGGACAAACCTTACACTTGCCATTTAGGCCATTTCTCACTTGTTTATTCTGCCTGGCGCGACATATATCTCGTGTCAAGCTATGCGCTGTGTCACTGCATCGCTGTCTCTGTCATTAAAGTGGATGGCTACTGCATCCTGTTTGAGGATCAGGGCCCGGCAAACCAAAAAAATCAAAGGGACAAACAAAAGTAACAAAAGCACAACACCCAGAAAACCCAACACACACACACACACACTGGCCCTCACCTTCTTGAACCACCTTCTGACTTGAGGTCCTGGTGATCAGAAGTTTCAGCGACTCGAATGCCAGTTTGGGCCGTCGGGGGATCGCGTCAAAAAATGACAACGAATTCGTCCAAAAAGAGGGAGCTCCCATTTTGGGCAAAAAACATTTTTGCCAACCCTACATAGGGCGCAAATCGAAGCCTTTCTCGTTTTTGCAAATGGGAGCATCACACAACCCGGTTTGGGTTGAGCGATTCCCACCTCTATATACCTTGAAATTGTGTTCCACCCTTTGACCAACAGTTACCAGGGGATGATTTTGTTTTTTTTTGTTAAGAACGGCATGTTCATATGATATATGCTTGCCCTGCACTCTTCCGTTTGGGGGATGAAATCATCAAACTTGGAAAGGAGGGCCAGCTGAACTTTGGTTTACGAGACTCAGAGAGACCGATGGGCTCTAAACGGGCTGGCTCGGTGTTCGAGGCATACGTTTCTAGGTGTTTCGAAATAAAATAAGCCCAGGGACTGGCTGGATGGAAAAAAAAGCGGCCGATCCTGACACCTTAGATTTATTCGAGGCGAGGATCCACGATACATGGCCGGATGCTCTTCTTAAAGAAAAAAACATCCTGCGAAATCCAAGCCTTGCCAATGGGCAAACAAAGAAAGCCCCAAAAGCAGTGGCTTGCAATCTGAAGTCCAAGTTGACATTGCAAATCCTTTCTTTCGTGTGGGCCTTTAGAATGTAGCAACATCGAACTCATCCGGAGGACTTTCTCGAAATCTGGGGAAGTTCCCCGCATGGAGACTTAATTCATAGGGCAACCCGCCAGCTTTGCGCATTTTCCCTTTGTGGGGAAGGAGAAATCTTCTGAGTGGCCCTTGCCGTTTGTCAATCGTAGACCCGAAGCAACTGGGGCCATGGGAGCTGGACCTCAAGCAACTCGGTCCACCGCCCGTGTCCTGAGCCAACTGCACGGAGGGAACAGCTTGCCTCAGCGAACTGAACAGCTCCCAGCTAAGCCGTCGGCAACATGGAAGGACTTGCCCTGCTTGATGTTTTAGGTTGAAAAGGGGACGCCCGAGGAAACCCATTTCGCGTACTGTACTACAGGAGCGCTCTCAGAACGAGATTGTGCCTTTTCCAGGTTATCAATCCTGCGAAGAAGCCCTTTGAACAACAGTTGGTTACACCTGCCTATATTTTCAGTTGCACTAGTGTGGAGGGAAAACAACAAGGAGTGCAACTTGGCGCAACGCTGCAAGGGCGCTTGCAATTCTCGTTGGCCGATTCGGGGGGAGGGGAGCCTAAACTTGATATCTTTACTCGAAGCACCCAATACAAACCGCCCATTTAGGGTAACCGATCCACCACAAACCCTCCGGCTTGGGCCTTTGGTGAAACATGTGTAAGCCACTTTCGTTGAAGCATCCTCCTGCTAGCTCTCCTGAAAGTGATGTAACATGACAGCTGGCAGCTGGTCAAGAAGTCGAACGGGAACATGTTCCAGGCTGCCACTAAACCGCGAAATCAATTACTCTGAGCAGAGTCTGGTTAAAGACATGCCAAGACTGGGTGGTAGAAAGTCGGACGTTAGGTTACGAGCTGCTGGCTTGGTGGCTCCCAGTCATCCCCTTAGCTTTTTAGCTTTTTTGGGTTTAGTGTTTTTTTGCTTTTAAGTAAGCCACTAAAAGTTTAACTATGCATGACATCTGTGCGAACTAGTTGGACCATGGATGAACTCAGTTTGGCCCCAGATGAGCTCGCTTTGATTTGTGCAGATCCATGCGTCCTTAGCTCTAATCTCAAGAGCAGACACATGCAACTAATCGCCACACATAAATGTGACCACCCGCGCCACATATAAATTAATTTCATCAACCGTCACAAAGAAATGTGACCGACAAATCGACCATCTTGGGATAAGGTGAATTTGGTACCGCGGTATGGGGGATGGCTCCCATATGAATTCCGTCATTTTGTCAACTCGTAAAGTTTCTGAGCTTTGTGTAGGACGGCTTACACCAGTAAGATCGAGCTACCCATTTCTGATCCTCATGTGGCGGAACAAGACCATGGTCCCGATACAAACTGCCCCCGCCCTTTTGAGAAGCCCCTGGTGGAAAGAAATGCCATATGAAGCCGCCACGTTTGGAGCTTCAGAAACGGGACTCAGAACCAGGTGGACCCATTCCGATTCAGCTGAGGTGCCGCTTGTCAGACCTAAGTGAAAGGCTCTTTCAGCCCAGCTTTGGGAGTTGGGAAGCACGGGGAGTGGCAGAAAAAAGGCAACATATATGACACACATATCAGTCTTGTTTATGTCACTGTTCAAGATCAACCCTGTTACTGCAAACAACAGAGTATCTACAATCTTATCATGCTCAGAAAATCCGTCTTGGTTCGCGAACTGAGCTGGCCAGTTCCCCCCAGAAAGCCCCACTTACCGGAGGACAATCAGACGGCACATACGCTTTAAGCTGCAATGGACTTGATGCTGCAAAACCAGACATGATTTGCTGATCAAGGCTGGTACGCTTCCCCGGATTGCACCCCTGATTGACTAGCGGTGTGTCCCATGGGAAGCGGGGTCGACATGTTGTCTTCACACATTATGACTCCAGATTGTACACCGTTCACATTGTGGGTCCTGCTGGATCAAGCAGCGGACGATAGCCACACAGTGAACACACATGGCCCAGCTTTGCCCGAGTGTGTTCGGGTGCGGGCAACATTCATATGCGCAGGCACGTCCATGACAATGTGTTAGTATCGTTGAGACACATCTCCCCGCTGTAGTCCCGCCAAGGCAACAATATCAAGGTCACAGATGTGTCCTAAGCAGCTAGCGCTTGCGAAACAGCTCAAGCCAAGTATTTGGCAAGGTGCAAAAACAGCGCATTCCTGTACGAATTGAGGAGGACATGTTGCCGCTCAACGGGATATGTATAATATATATATATATAATATTATATGTATGTATATATTGCTCTGTTATCCTAGCACAGGCCTTGATCAATACCTTCAGCAACTCTGACCATGGTTTGCACATGTTTCGTTTGAGACCCACCAACCACCCTTTTGGTGGAGTGCCCTTACTTCTACCAGTGGCTCAAGAACACGAGGAACTCAACGGTCGACCTTCTGGGGCTTTGAGTATAAACATGGATCGACATGCGAAAGCCGAAAGGCATACAGCCAGCTTGAAGCAACTAAATCAAGGCTTGGTTTGGTGGATTTGCCGATGGACTGAGGACCCCGTGTATTCAAGCAACTGGCACAATTCTTTGCAGCTCTTGTCAGGGCATTTCTAGTTTGGGCAGGGGGCTTCCGATCTTGAGCACAGCATGCGCGTAGCATTCAAATGGGTCTGCGTCAAAATTGGGGGATTCCCACGGCGCCTGTCCTTTGTCCTCCTTTCGGCCACCTCAAAAATGGTGGTGACCGCGCCTCCAAATATGCGGACACCCAGTTCGGACGATGGGGAGGCCAAGCTCCCCTGCTTGGCTTTGGGCTCGCCGCCGGGTCTCACGAGGCGGGAGGACCAGCATACGATTGCCGAAACGACATGAGTAGGTTTCAAAGCTTTAAGTTGCAGGAAAATCTACTGGACATGGCCCCCAAACACCCTAAGTAGGCTGTATGCCTGTAGAATGTCCTGTAACCCAACCCTTTGAGGGTTGGGGATTGAAATCATCAAGAGGACAGGAGTAAACTATTGGTAATGCTTTAGACCGTTCCTGTGTACTACGGTGAATCGACATGCTGTATTTTGGATGATCCCAACCAACATGTCCATTCTCCAAAAGGATCCAGAAGCGCAAGGTTGAAGCCATCGGAGCAACCGAGGAGACCCAAGGAGCTAGGAGGAAAGAACAGAGGACATGGGGTGACACCACTGAACAAGTGGGTACGGTCCCCGGCCGGACAAGTCACAAGTCAGAACCTTCCGCATGCAACTCACATCTTGAAATCATGTAGGGAAGCATGGGTGAGCTCGTGCCCCCGCTGGCTCCTTTGCGCCGAGAGCGCTTGGTACATGTGGCACAGTAATGTCCAGAGTCAGTGGACGTGGGGTCCTCCGAGACTTGGATCTTCTTTCTGGAAGTGTGATTCTGGATTGAGCCTCAGCCGAGCCCATGGTGTTCATATGTCGCCAACAAGCATATCACAAGACCCCGCCAACCATTCAAATCCACGAACAAGCCTCTTCGGCTCGTGCCGTTCAATTGAAAGACAGTTGAACTTCTTCCGTCTGCATAAAGGTGCCACAATTATCATGACAATGCTTCTCCAAAACCAACAGGGGAAGCACAACACCTTGCGCACAAAGGCCAGGCGAGCTTCCCGTAGCCATGCCACCCATTCCCTGCCTGAAACCCGCGCGCGGCAGCAATGCCTCTCGAAGCAAGTGACCGGTGCGACCCACATCGACCCACAACGGCAAAGCCTTTCGCCAGCTGCATGTGGCCCTTCCCATGGAAACTGAAGGAATACGAGGACGTGTCTCTGCTTTCGTCCACGCACAGCTCTGTGAAAAAGAGATGGAAGTGGCAAGGTGTATGCAGGGTTTCCTACAACATCTCTCCACTCAATGGCACATCACCTGCAACTGATGATTCGCCTTGAAAAAGCAAAGGCAGGCCCGTTCCATTCGAGGAGGGGCCGGAACTGGCCGGACCAGGCAACCAAGAAATTCGGTGAAAGGTGTTTGCTCCGAGCAACGTCACGTGTGCAAAAGATGAGCGAGCCACACTCATACTGTCCGGAACGCCACCCTGGCGTCCCAAAGCAGAGTTGCTCCGATGCAGACGTAGAAATGAGTGAGGCCTATGGAAAAAGGGCCAGCGCTGTGTGTAGGGAATGGTTTCTCTGGTGCCGTATGTTAAGCCCAGGTTGGCTGGAAACCAAGGCCTGGAATTCCATAGGAAAGAGATTCTGGAGTGGAAGAGATCAGCTTTCAGCCAAAATCCCTGCCATTGCGATATTCCTGGCGACTCAGCTTGTCTTCTGTTTGCTTTTCAGGTGCCGATAGCAACAGCACATCCATGTCTCTTTAACACCAACAGGCACAAAGCACCTTCAGATGAAAGTACGCCTTGCATTGTCAATGAATGAGCGCGCCACCAAATTGAAAGGCGCTAAAAAAAAGAAGAAACACACGTTCCTCCAGTCGCAACTGCAATCTGTTTGATGTTTGCTTGGGAGCTGTGATTCCGACATATTCTTTGCAACACCCATTTGTCTTTTCTTCGAACGGCTTGCTTCTTAGCACAATCTGACCCAAACAAGCTCGGCTGGTCCATAGGAACTGGGCAACAAGGTGAATGCGTGCTCTCCAAGTTGGGTTTTGACTTCGACTTCAAGCCATCCAGTCAACGCAGTCAAGAGACAACTGACCGAAGAGCTGTAAGTTTTCAAAGGCCAGCTTTACCAACAGAGGCTTCACCCAACCTTGAACATCTTGAACCTTTGGGTGCGACCAACAAAAAACTCAGCCCGACATGCATTGCATGTTTTCACGGAATGGTGTCGGGAACCCATAGGCCGGAGCCCAAACTGCTTGGGCTCTCGCGCCGCGAAACGCCCAACAAGGCTGAACAAGGCCTCTAAGGCGACGTTGTTCTTTGGGTGGCGGGGGGGGGGGGGGCGGGCCAGCGTCGCAACCCTAGGGCCTAAGGCTTCTTTCTGGCCATGTGGACGTGCGATTGCCAAACTCCTCCGATTCAAGACTGTCCGCTTTTTTTCCAGCCGAATGCCGGCCAATACTTCAACTCATCCATTTCGGCACCCACCAATAACCCCCTCAATAAAGACAGTCACTGTCCGCTGCGCCCTCTGAAAATCAAAACACTAAACAACAAAACACAATTCAGGGACAAAAGCTATTGCCAACACTTCCGCCAATACTAATTCCCATTCACATTCGTAAGGGTCGCTCCCAAAACCGGGAAACACAGCGAACCGGAAGGAGCAATTTTGTCGTGTTGCAGGTTGTTTTCTCCTGAAGGCGAAGCTGCCCCTCCTTATCAACCCAGGTACTCTCCAGCCGTGGGAGAAACAAATACGAAAGTGCTGTCGCCCAGTGGGGGGAGGACCGGAGAGGACCGCGGACTGGAGACCGGATTAAAAGGCTTGACCCAGGGAAACCCTCCAAAACACGTTTTTTCTTCTTCTCCGTTTTTTTGAGACCAACCCCTCCTAAAGCAGCTTTGTTTTTGTTGTTGTTTTCGCACCTTGTCTGATCTGGAGGAAGGTTTCCTGAGACCAACCCATCGCCAAACGAGTCTGGCCTGACAAAGGATGTCGCAGGCCAGGTGCTTGGCAGGGCTGAAGCACACCTGGAGGGAACTGGTCAGTTGTCAAAACCTTCCTGGGCTGAGGAATCGTTCTCTGTTGAATCATTCGGTGGGTTTTGAATAAACCACTGGGTAGCAACGGGTTTTATTAAAAAAACAAAAACACTACCTGTTGCAACTGTAGGCATACATTGTTGCCCACATCTAGCAATTGCTACCCCAATGGAGGTCTTTGCTGGGGTTTTGCATGTTGGCGTCCCCGAGCCTACTTCAAGAGGCAAACTTAATCCCTGGCCTGGCCATGTGCGTTTCAACTCCCGCAGGAAATCACAAGAAAAGCCTGAGCAAACAAGCACAGCCGGGCAAACAGCGAGGTGCCCCTGTTTCTGAAGACACACATATTTCCAGAAACAGGGATCCTTTTTGCCTCATGGGTTACTAGTAAGCCAACACATTTCGAAAGTGCCCAAGTTGCGGAATGACTGAATAGACCTGCCGCGCCTGCAAAACCTCTCTAATAACATTGGCAAGCAGGCATGTTCCCAATGTCCTCTCGAAGGAAACTAAGACAGTCAAAACACTGGAAGCGGCACGCTTCTTTTTGGGTTCCTGGCTGAGGAATATGCAGCAATTCCCTGCTCTTTGCGCTGCCTTGGACCGCTCCGCCAGGCCGGGCATTGGGTCTTGGAAACCAGGCCCACTGGTTGAACAATATTGGCCTATTCGCCTGAAATAAAGCTGGAATAGTCGCAAGTTGAGCTGGGTCCAAAGCAAGCTTAAGAAACAAGATTGGCTCACCAGGTCATCAGCTTGCCAACAACAGAAACGGCTTCAAAGGGAAATAAGTGGCCCCGGTGAAAGAAGAGCTATCAGCAGAGTGATAAAGGATGTTTTAACTGGACCCTTGTGAGCGCATTGCTACCAGCATGGTGATAGAGGTTTCTACAGGGCCTCACAATTATTCAAACCAGCGAGAGGCGGAGCTGTTCATGGGCAAACACGGGTTTCAGGCGCTATGCGTTTTGGCACATATTGAAAACGTAAAGCCATTCATCTCCAGCTGAGACAAAGATGCTGCAGCGAATCGAGGGAATCGAAGCGGCACTCGCCTTGGGCAGACCACACAGCCATCGCACGAAGTTCAGGTACGAGAAGCAGGCTGAAATCTCCTTAGAGCCAGCCGAGTAAATCAGTGCAGCTGCACGAGATAGTGTGTCAAAATCCAAGATCATAATTACATCGCCATGTTCATCTAAACAAGACACTGGCCACACCCAGGAAGCGAACAGTTCAAACGGCATGCAGCATCATGATCGGCTCAAGTGAAAACCTCGTCAGGAAGGAGCGGAAAATTGGGGGGTCCCCTTGTCCTCCACAACCCAACAACAGACTGCAAGAAGTGCAACGAACGCTCAAGTTATTCTGCGAGTGTCATATCAAATCGGTAGCCAACCAACCAAAGACTGCAGATCCTCTCGTGGGGACATCTGACTTATGGCCTTACAGTCCACCGTGTTCGTCCGCAACTACCAAACAAAAGCTAAGGGGCACGCAAAGCCAATGGGCCAGATGCAGGCTCCCGCGAGCCGAGCGGCTCTATGGCGCCAATGATTCCACCCCGACACTTGTTCCTCACAAGATGATGCCGATCAAAGGAAGATGCAGCGGTCAATTATCCACAGCTTGACAGCTTAGGCAAGACGCCGTAGACACTTTGGCTTGCACGGTCTTTGTATTGAGAAGGTGGCTAAGACCAGACATTGGACCAGGCTTTGCTGTTGCGACAGATGGAGATTGGCTGACCTGGACGGAGAAATCATCGGCTGATTGGGCTGACCCAACGTGGCACAGCGAGCACTGATACACCGCACACAGTATTCTTTGGGCCCAAAGACTAGGCCGCAGGTCTAGCAACCGAGCATTCAAGTCAGTGGCTAGAGGTGGACGAGCGCCCTGCATTTTCCTTGAAACTGATGTGTAAGACATTGGCGCTGGTCAAGGCGGGACTTAGATGCCTAAGCGTCGGAGGGCCCAAAGACATCCCCAGTTGGGTTTGGCTTTTCTGGAGTTGGTCAGCCTTTGCTGGTGCCAAAGGGGAACCAAATTCGAGAACACCAACATCTTCTGGCGTCCCCCCCGCCCCAAAAAGGACGAGCCACCTGTATGGAACAGCCGCATGGCACTCGCTTCAACTAGGCCGCCAGGCTGCCTTGTGCGCACACTGCTCGGAGGCCTTGGGTCAGTTGCACCCAACGGTCTATGGCCAAAACCAGCGGGCACCAGTTGGGATGGATCAGGGCTCCCTATTTTCCCCTAAAAACATCAGCCCCATCAAGGGGCACTCAGCTTTCATGGGCCAAAAAGGTGATGTTTACCAAACAAGGAAATATATATATATATATAAACCCCTGTGGATGGAACCCTATGAATGGAATCAATCAACTACCAACTGGTGCAGGATGTTGTCCATCCACAGTGAGCCCCTTGCACTTTGGTAACTCACTGCTTCCAGGCCCTCAGAACCACCAAACGAACACCAACTTAAGATGTTCCCACCGCTTGTTTTTGGGCTTCGTTCCTTCCGGACCCCATTTTTTGGGGGGAACATGAGGAACACATGGCTAACACCAATGGTACCATTTTGGGGTAGGTGAATTCACCACCCATTTCAGAACCTATTTTAGCGGTTGGATTGGATGTTTAATGGGGGCTAACCGGGCTTTTGACTTATGGCCACATGAACAAATGGCCCCTAAACAACCCAACCGTTTCTCCAAACGGTTTACTCGATCCATCTAAGCTCAGAAACTGAAGCCGCCTTACCGAAGGCACAGGATCGACATTTTTGAGGATCCCATCCGCGGAGATTGCTCCGGTCTGTGTAATTGAACAGGTGATGCCGATTCATCACTTGTGATAATTCATGCCGTTTTCGACTTGGGCGTGTATTGCTTCAGTTCCCAAATCCGTTTGAATGTGTACGATTGTAGATGAGTCGGTATTGCCGACGCAAGGATCCAGTCAAATAACTCATTAACCTGATTTACAAACATCTCCAGAAGAGCAACCATCATGGGCAAAGCCAAACAACAAGATCGAGGTTGCGCTGCTGCTACTGGGAACAGAGACCCACTAACGAATCCAGACGTCATGCAGTAATGGACCAACGCCGAAGCCAGCTTAAAACCCCAATCGAAGCGCTCACACATGTCTCTTCCCCGTGAAAACGCTATGTTCCGTAGTAAAAGCATGCTTCATATTGGGGGCAAACATCTTTCTCCTTCAATGCATGGACTTGCGCAATTTCAGATGAAGAACAGAGCCAATCCAAGCAATCCAAACTTCCAACAAAAATCAGCACTTGCAGTCAACCGGCCATTGAGCTACGCAAAACATGCTGGCATCACCCTCTCGTCTGTCCCAAGCACATCAGACCTCAGAAAACGCGCGATTGGTGGGTTCAAAACTCAAGTGAGCTTTTGTTCACCTGCATTGTCGAGTCCTTCAGAATTTAACCCTTTCATTCAATGGGAGCCCGTAGCTACAAGACATGTAAATACCAGCACCCTCCAACAACACCAGGCAGGACCTCTGGTGAAGCCTGAAGCGCTACAGTAGTAAAGCGGGGCGGCAAGAGGTGGGGTTCTGAAGAGGGAGGGAGAGCTCATTTCATGAAAGCCCGGGACACACAAAGTGATACATAACCAATACCCTTATACATGGGCCATCAGTGCGCATTGCCTTTCGTGGGATGCGTGGCTCAGTCGCAGTCGTGCCGATCAAACATTATGTCATGCGTGCTTCGGAAGTGAAGCACCTGAGACTGGGTGGTAAATAGGGACTCTGCAAAAACGAGCAACCTATCCATCCCTTCTGGGTTTCCTCTGTATAATGATGAGATTGTTGGTGCCCGCTTAAAAGGAATCCGTCTCGATTGGCTCCCAGTTTGGCAAATGTCCAGGAATTCTCAACCGCCACTCTGGCGAGGATTGGACACCCTCCTAGCTGGTGAACAGCATGATTGATTGAATCGGCCTGTTCCATATAGACGCACATACGCCCACAAACCCGATCCGGCTGAAACTCAACAAATCATTACCCTGGGAATGAGTGAGCCTGGAATTCCAAGTAATATTTGTCTGCTGATCTTGGACAACCCAGCAAGGTATGAGGCAAATTTCAGGCTGTAGGTTGTTTTATCAAAGAGAACAAGACCAACCGAAGTCCTGGCTGCCTGCTTGCTGGCTCTGCTTGCTGTGAACACTATCCCTGCCTTAGCGGGCCTGGCGGCCTAAAAGGATTCCGCAAAGTTCACGAGCCTGCAGCAACTCAGGCCGAAGAAACATGTAGATAGAGACAAGCTTGGATATGGCAAACGCCGGCACCTGAACCTATAGTAGACATCCAGGTTCCCATGGATTTGCATGTGTTGACCAATGGCTACAAGCACTTCTGGAATGGATGGCTCCTTAAGACAAAGCAATTCACGCACTTAACACACTCCCCGGTTGACCGCCGAGGCGACAGGCGCGCGGATCTCCGAGGGTAGCTGTAACTCCTGAGCCATAGGAAGCGAAAACGCTACCAAGCTCCAAGTCTCAATTGTCCCATGCGTAACTCTGTGTGTTGGGCGCGGGTATTTTGTTCTGCATTTGTGTGCATTCTCTCTGCGTATCTCAGCACTTCCCAACCAGTATTCAAACATGGCGTGTTCGCGACGTGATTGATTGATGCTTGATTGCCATTTATTTGGGAGAGTGTAAGCCATCACGGCCTCCTCTCAGAACCTCTCCCAACTATAGGCCTTGTCCAAACAAATGGGCTTGATCTATCACTAGAGCAGGCACACCTCTGGCGTTTGATCACAGCACGCTTAGCACACGCACTGCGGTTCCTGACGTAAACCACCATGTTGAACATCTTCTGTCTATCCATCTCGACATGTTCCTAAAGCATGAATATTTACGAGTCACCATCTCCTTCAAAACCAGCAGAACAATTATATTATTTTTATTTTTATTTTTTAAACAAATCCCTATGCAAATGGGAGTAATGGCGCGCTCCTTTGCGAGCTCGCTTCTCTCACTGATTTGCAGCGAAAAGCCTCTCAATCAGAAATGATCATTGTACCTTAGCCCAGGTCAGTGATGCCATACACATTCCCGCCCCAATCCCATGCAACCTGATTCCAGACCCCAACCTGATCGGAACCCTCTCGGGTACATGCGTCGAACCAGGTCCGCCCGGAAATGCACGATTGGCATGGTTGAAGCCTGCTTGGAAGCTCCTTTAAGTTGACCTTGACCAAAAGAATGTCCCCATTTTTTTCAGCCCAACGCGGGATCGCATGGCATCATCCCTCACGGGTCCTCCCAAAGTCGCTGCAAAGTCTTGGCCTGGCGAGAGCAAGGATAGGAAACCCGGACACACAACACGAGGCATCTGCAAGTTGAAGAACATCGAAAACATGACGTGCAAAACTCTCGTGACAACTTCATGCGCCAGCACTTGTTCACTCGAATGTGCTCATCATACGTAGAAAGAACGCATGGTGACAAGCGGTTTGTAGACGGTGCTGATGATGTTCTGCGGCAAAGTACAGGGACTGCCTTGCTGTCCGTATTTTGCAAAGGTCAAAGCACCACAGCTTCCAATTTGACGTTATGTTGAACGCAACCACATTCGATCACACATAGGCCGAGAGGCCAGGGTTGGCTTGGTTTGACACGGGGGGTCTGGACGAAAACTGGCCCTTCTTGCAGTTTCCATCAGAGATAATTGCAGTACAGTTACTGGCTGTTTAGCATTTTGTTGGTTTCAAGAGCTTTCATGCACATCGTGTTGGAAAGACCTTCTTAAGCAACCGGGTACATCGCTATTGTTCACAAGTGGGTCTTTCAGTTTCCTGTGCATAGCAGGCGACTTTAGAAAGCGGCTGCTGTGAGTGCCATGAGGAAGTTGCATTTGATCCATATGGGTGTGGCTCAAAATTAAACAGGAGGGGTTACGCAGGTTTTGGTCCATGTTTCCACTTACCAGGCTTCAATTTTGGTACCGGTTTTTGGAGCCACAGCCATATCTATCCACTTGAATTGGAGGGGTATATGCAAGCGTCAGAGTGTAGAATTGGCATGCTGGAGACTGTGGAGTCTGGAGCGGATGGTGGGTGGGGTTCGGCAGACGGCTAGATTCTAGATAAGAGTTGGGGATTTGCACGAAGAGACTGGCTTCTTTCTTGACTTGCAAGTCAACTAACCGACATTGACTCATAACCTTCTGCTCTGGGCGTATCATACTGTGGATGGACGAAATCCTTCACCACTTTGAAACCATGGTTGAAACCATTGTTTGTTGGTATTTACAGGGGAATCATTCATTCCCTTGAGGTTCTTAAGTGGTGCGAAACGGATTTTGTCCATCCATCTCTTCAAGGATCAGTCTTTTCAGAACACGTACAATATCCCAGGGATCTGAACAAGACCTGAGAGGCCCAGGAGACTCCAGGTAAACCAGCACTACGCTTGACTGCTCCAAGCAAAACGTGCTTCTGGGAGAAGGCCTCATTGGCGTGCGCCCGGCTCAGCGTTTGGACATGATTCAAGGCGCCTGCCGCAGCTTGCTGTCTGACTGTGGCTCCAGGTTCCTTGGCAAGCGGCAAGAGCGCGCGCCACGGGCTGGCAAGCGCGGCAAAAGCTGCCGAAGATCGGACGCCCATGAAAGGAACAACTACTGCCCCACCCCAAAGGTGCACATGCCATCCTCCAAAACAAACCAATGAGTCCTACCACTTTCAATCTTTTTCGGGGCACTCTTTCGACACCCGCAACGGAGCGGGGGGTGCACCAAAACGGGCTTGCCCGGTGGGCCGACACCCGCCGACCCAACCAGACTCGGAACTGAGGCTGCGGCACCAGCTCGGGCAACCTCTCCAAAAGGGCATGTCACAAAACCCCGACCTATTTGGGCGAGCTGAAAATTGAGGGGGGCTGGGGGGGACGAGGGTTGGGTGATGAATTGGGACTTGGACGTAAATGTCCACTTTTGAGGTTCCAACTCTATTTTGTTGGGTTTGTTTGTCGCTTTTTTGAGGTACCCATTTTTGTTGTGGTTTGAAAGGGAACCAAAGGGACGACAACCATTTTGAGGGTCCTCTAGAAATAGGCAGATAGTTTCCCGGGCGTTCATCATTCTGCTCGGGAATGCGATGGTATGACCCCGAAACAAGAACTATTTAACTTGTGGTTTCTAAGAGGATACCTGCAATCATTCCGCAAGTTCCTCTGGATTCCGTATGAGCCAACGTATTCCCTTTGTAGAGCTCGACCGCCAACATGAATTCATCAGACTTTTCATGACGAGTATAAAACTGAAGAGAACCTGGCAAGGATGATGGATCATGGGACCACTCAACCTTGAGGGTCCAACGAAGGAAACTGAGACAGCACTGCTTCTGGGATTGTCATTGCCTCGTGTTGAATGGATGACAATGGGCGAAGAGTGATCTGTTCACACACCCTCTTGGATGATCTGTTCACATGACGAACACCAGAAACAACACATTTCAAGTCTCCAATGTGAGACACAACCGATTCAAACTCTGCATAGCTTCTTGCCTTCGGAGAGTTGAACACATCCGTCCAATCAAACAATACACCTCAGCACCATGCGGCTCGAGTTTAACGAGTTTGGCCAGCCCTCGAATTGATGTTTCCGCGCTTACGAGCGCGCGTGCAATTTTTTACCCAGGGACACAAGCCTAGCTAATCTTCAGACCCCATGCATGCCATACTAGATATGATATCAGCGTACTTTCTACCATCAAACAGTATGTCACATCGGCATCGTGAAACCAACCTGTCATGCGAAAATTACACCGGAAGCCAGCGTAGTGAACCCCTTTTACTCTCTGCGCATTCTATGCTAGCATTGGTAGGGCAAGCTACATGCATTGATAAGCAGTATGTTCCCGCCTTAAACATGCGAAACAACGCACGACTGGGGGGTTGGTCGGAGTCAATTCGACGGTTTCCTCAAACGGGACCCGCGCCTTTGTTTTATCTGCCGCCTGATCCGAATGCAAGGTGAATATCTGCGAGTTTCCTAAAGGGACCCCTTTCGTGGCTGCACCTCTGGACTTTATCCATCCAGAAGGCGGTCTCCTACATTTTGCTGAACGTGTTCATGGTGCAGCCCTCGATCCGCAGTGCTGTTTCTACTACCTCTACATGCCAACGAGCGACTGGTAGATCAACATGTTTGGGGTCAGGATGGTCAGGATCTCTTCAGGGCCTCTGGCACTCGCATACTTTTCAGGCGCCGGCACATTCCACTTGTACACGTTGTTGAACTCCTCCTCACGTGGGCTCATCCTATCTTGGGTTTACGATGCAGCCCTTTCCATGGGATGAACTTTGTACAGATTTGGTGGTAGGACACTTGCAAGAGTACACCAAAGCAAGCATGTTTAAAAGAATTGATGAGTACGCGCAACCCTATACCAATCCGACAAGGACAAACTGTGCAGGTCAAATATAGAATCCTGCTGGTCCGTTCTTGTCCACGTTTGCGAAACTAATGCAGGTGAGGCCAATGTGAAATGGTATGACATGCCACGCACGTTCACCATTGGGCAGGCTTGGAGGGAATCAACTTCAACACTCATGCTCATGACTGTACACACACACACACTCGTACACTGGTCATCCAATACCTTCCATACTGATGATTGGGCCCAAGAACGCACCCTTCACAGTTCTCGCATGTCAGGCTTGGGCAAAACCTGTTCTGCCACATTCCTCGCAGCTCTAGGCCATCCTGGACTGACCGAAGCAAACAACATTTGATATCCAACATGCTTGGCACTGTCAACAACACGAACCGCTTGATCCCACAACTAAGTGGAGTCATGAACCAAATGTTGAACCAGGGAGTTGTTCACAAAGTCGCCAGTGCCCTTGGAGGGAGGGTTCCTTGAAGGGGAAATATATTGCTGACCACCCACCAGACCTGCTTGCCCACTGGCCATTGGCGAAAAGAGGCCCCTCATTTTCTGTTGGTTCATGTCAACAAAAACCTTGAAGGGGCAACAGGGCAGGCTGACACCTGGGCAAACCAAGCCGAGCAAGCCGAGCAAGCCACGCCTTGATCTCAGCAGCCCCACAACGGAAGTTTTGCCGTAGCACTCGGGCTCGGCGCTCGGCCTGGCAATTGCAATGGAGTCGTGAAGCCCAATGCAAAGGGTTAGGGGTATCACGGAAAGTTGTTGATTTCCATGAGACGGAAAAGACGGTTCCCACCCATTCCGGAAAGAGAGCACCAGCACAGAGTTGTTTTAATGAAGCCACGAAAAAGACCCCGAAACGGAAGAACAGTACTGTGTGTGTGCGTGTCTTTTTCTAAAGGAAGACCACGATGGTGGTGTTTCCTTTGGGTCCCTTAAAAATAAGCTCAGGTGATATCCGCACCCTCGTGGAACCTTACCGCCGCCCCGGACCCCGGAGGCAATCTGGGCTGAGACCCCAA